GGCCTCCTGCCCCCCTGGGCACCCTGGGCCCGTGTCCACCTGGCACCAGCACCCCCAGGGCCTTTCCCAAAGGGCCTTTCCAGCCCCTCGGTGTCTCTCTTGTGCTGAGGGCCCAGAGCTGTCCCCAGCACTGGAGGTGCCTCAGCAGTGCCGGCACAGAGACAGGCCCTGCCCTAGGGCTGTGTCACAGCCTGGCTGGGACAGCACAGGCCCATTGCCCCTCTGGGCACACTTGTGCTCATACTCAGCTGGCACCATTAAAGAAATTCCTGGTAGAAATAAGAGTGTAGAAAACAGAACCTCTGAAGGTGCTGATTTGCTAAAGTGATGTGGTATTTTTCAAATAAAAAGCTGCTTTGAAGGGAAGTGGAATAATCTCTTTGACATACTTGTGGGTTCACAGGTCATATGGAAAGACTTTTCCAAGGTTAGGAATAATGAAGCACTGTGGTAGGTTTTCAGGCACTTGAGCATTGGAGACCTCTGGGGTTTGGCACCATGGCACTGGGGCAGAGCACAGACCAGCACAGCCACAGGTACAGGCACAGGTAGATGTGGGGATGCCTCTGCAGCCCCACCAGGGCTCAGACCAGAGCAGGAATTGCCTGGGTTACTGTCAGTACAGACCTGGCCACATTAGCTCTGGGCTGTTTCTCAGGATTTGGACCATTCAGTTTACTCTGGAGATACACATAATGTCTGTGTGCTTCATTACTGAGGCAAAAATAGGTGAATGTATAAGGGTTATCAGCATAGCAGCTACTTTTTATTGAAAACTACTTATTTGCCTCTGTGTTTTTATAAATAATCTAAAAATCACCATTGCCAATTGATTGGGAACATATGGGAACCATTAATGCTGTACAGAAGAAACTGAAATCAAAATACCTTCTGCTTCCTATTACTTTACCTTTTATTTTAGAAGGCCATTTTAGTAGGAGATAGTGCATCTTGCTTATCGAAAATGGGATATTCCTCTTCTGAATCGTGAACAAAGAAGAATGCTATGGTTCCTCTTCTGGCCTTGTGCAGAAATATTTCATCTGGGAGCTGTCTATATGCCTCCACTTCAGAGGTGGTCTGTAATTTGGTCAGCCACTTCAGATATGTCAGGAATTTGGTGGAGACTCTTCACTTATCATTCCTAAAGATGTGTTTGGTTCGTGGCCACGGCGAGAACTCCTTGGCTTTCACTGCTCTCATATTTCCTACAAGCGAGCAACTGATA